ATGAAAGGTTCAAAGACGGTTTAAACTTTGATGGATCAATAGCAAATGTAACCTTTGATTGTAATGCCTTGTCCAATTTAGCTTTAAGAGTATTTATCTCTTTTTGCCAAATGTGACAAGTTTCACAACCAAACCATGAAAGTTCTTCATCCCCATTCTGATCTTTTTGAATATCTACCATAGATTGCTTAAGAGCTTCCATGTTCTTTTAGGTTTATAAAACTTTAGCTTAAATGTGAACAAATTCTTTTGTTTGAAGCTAAATTTTTAAAAGCGTATCCAACTTCTCTATGTAGATTTTCAAAAGCCTTTTGTAATTGAAAATAAGACAATTCATTAATAGATTCAAGTTTAGAATGAGTTACATTCTTCTTCTTCTTTTTGTTGGCCATGAAGTAAAGCTTGTCCGATTCATCACTTAAACTTGAGCTTTCATCACTCGAAGATTCACTTTCACTCTCCCAAGTAATGTAGGCTCTTCTAGACTTGCTAGGTTTCTTGTGATGACCTTTCTTTTTGTATTTCTTGAAAAATGGACAATCTGGCTTATAATAACCGACTTTTCAAAAATTGTAGCATGAACCTCTATGTTTACCTTTCTCATTCTCATCTTCCATATGTACCTATGGTACCTTTTAACGAACAACCCCATTTATTCATCATCGGAATTCTCGTCATCACTTGTTTCACAATCACTTTGCTCATTTTTTGAAGACTTTGAACTTGAAGCCTTTTTCTACCTCATTGTCCTTGCCTTTCTCCTTCTTTATCTTATTCTCATGTTTTTCCAAGCAAATTAGTTCTTGCCCATGCTCTTCTAGCTTGCCAAATGAATTTGTGAGATCAAGTATTCTAATATCATTCGCTTATTTGATTGCAGTGACCTTAGGTTGTCGTTCCCTATTAAGACACCTAAAAAATCTATTAGTAGCAATTTCATTGAAAATAGGCTTATCTAGAGTATTCAAATTATTTATAAGATGTGTGAACCTCTTTTGTATGTCGGAAATGGTTTCACCATGCTTCATGCAAAATAGTTCAAACTCTTGAGTTAAGGTATTGATCATAACTTATTTGACTTTATTAGTTCTCTCATGGGCAACTTCTAATGCGTTACATGTAGCTTTGGAGGTTTTAAAATGGGAAACACGATAATATTCATCAACACTAAGTGCAGATTTGAGAATATTTTGTGCCTTCCAATCATGTGACTATAATTTTCTATCATTATCATTACACTGTGCTTCCAGTTTTGGTACGATGACACCTTCACCATCGGTCATTGTAATTTGATTAGGATCTTTTTTTGATGACGTCCCATACACCCTTATCAACCGAGTTGATATGGAAACACATACAAACTTTCCAATAACCATAATTTTCACCGCTAAAGATGAGCGCTTTATTGTACGACCCTTTATGTTCGGTAGCCATTTTCTAATAAGCGAATATTAAAGCATGAAATTAACCAGAGCTCTGATACCACTTATTAGATGAAGGCGACTTATCTAGAGGTGGGTGGGGGTGAATATATCCCAAGTTGAAAAACTTTACAAAAACTGTTTTAAAAAATTTAACGACTAGCGGAAGTGACCCGAATCGAATAAACCGAACCACTATCGAAAAGTTAGGATATGCATATATAGAATCAAGTTATGATAATGAGAAAAAATTGATCAATCTAATTTTAACAATAATCACTTGAATCATATAATAAAAGTGAAGTCTATTTCTAATGACAAAATACACAAAAACGTAATTGAGATAAATTATCAAACATCTTGTCTGCAATCAATTTCATTTAGAACTTTCTATGGTTTTTTTATTTAAAAAACAACTACAATATAATGGAATGTAATCAACACAACAAAATCATTTTCAAAATATTATCAACAAAACTTTAACCAAACGTATTGATCATACAATCTACGAATTCAACAATTTGCAATTGAAAAGTAAAAGAGATAGAGAGAGAGAGAGAATACATAAGGATTTGTTTAGGAAGTTCAACAACCGTCTTCGCTATGGTTACGTTTGCCCATAATTCCAAATAGAATTGTGATATCGATCATACTTTGCAAAAGATTGTTTACAAGAGAAAAGTAGCAATCCAACCCAACAATCCCTATGTTTGATTTTGATCCTAACTTGTTCTCTTCATAATCGGTACATCAAACAAAGGCTACAGACTTTAAAACTCATCAAAATGTGTCGACACATAACTTGTATGTGTCGACTCATAGAAGTATTTTATCTTCTATGTGTTAACCTGAAATACTTTATATGACGACTCATGCATTACATAAGCTACAACCTTTAAAAATGATCCACATGTGTCGACTCATAGCATGTATATGTCGACATATAGACCCGTTTTCACATAAAAACCTATTTTTAATGCATGAATCCTTTTCTTAATCATTCCTAAGTTTCCTAAAAGATGCGCATTTAGAATCAGAGAATACCGTCCAATATGCATAAATGCTAAAATGTTCTAGTTTTGACATCATACAAAATATTTCTAATAGGAAGGTGCACTCACATTCACCTCTAGACCGAATGATTCAAATCATAACTTGAACATGATTCAAATCATAACCTCATTTGATTTGGATCAAGTGCATATCATGATTTAAATCACGAGCTTTGAAAAACGCCCCTTCTCGGGTCTGTCCATATTGGCTCAAATCATAAATCCTTCTTGATTCAAATCACGAATAAAAAAAATTCAATTCTCTATCTCTCTTTTAAATAGTAGTTTCTTTTGGTGAAAGTAACAATTGTGTGAAACCTACAGTGAAATCCATAGAGACAAAAATGTGATTTTGTCTACTCTTTTAGTGCGTTCATCCTTACACCATGAATGTTCTCTCTTATTCTCCAAAACCAACTTCTTATATTGAATCCATGTCAATTCATTATCTCTTTTTGTTGTATCTTGTTCTTGTACAATTTTGTTGTTGTCTTTGTATGAATTAGAGAGAGTGAGTTGATCAATCTTGTTATAATTGATCAGACTCTTGATATCAATCAATAACCAAGACCCATTCATCTAGAAACTTGATAGAACCTTGTATGTGTTCTTCATTCACCAAACCTGAATTACTTCACTAACACCTTGTAATTTTAGTGATTGGTTAAGATTATTTGGCATTGTTCATCACATTCCTTCCTAGTCTTTTTTACTTTTGATTGTAGAACCTTTTCTAAAGATTGAGTGTTAAGGGAAACTAGTGGTACCCTAGGGTATCTAATGTTTTGTGTGAAACTGGTTGTTATGTAACAGGTGCAAGTATCACTTCTTAAATGCAGTTTGCTATTGATTTGCTATCTATCAAGAAGAGATTTTCCAATATACTCCAAGGAACACTTTGGCGAGATCAAATATCAATTGTTTATATATTCTTCTTTGGTGGCGTTAGAGAAAGATTGATCATAGAAAAATTTAGGAGTTGTCCAATATACGCTTATTTAATGGCAATCACTTAGACAAGAAATCAGCGGGATCAGGGGGATCGCCACACACGAATACTAGGAATAGGTTATTGTGGATAACGAGGTTATTGGATCAGGATCTTGTTTTTGTTAGCAGTTTAATGTTTGCATCAATAAGAGAATTATCCTATGATAGTTCTTTGTAATCAAAATATTATAATTAATTTTATCAAAATACTAGAAGACCGTGATTATGTTCCGATGACATCATCCATTGAAGAGTGCAGTAGAAAAAACGAGGACGAACGCCGAAGCACTATATATCTGTGTATTTTTTACTTTTTTACTTTTCTCTTTTATTTTGCAAGCATTCATTCATATTTGTTGTTGCATTATTGAATAATTGCATTGATTGTATGCCATATAGGTTAAACCATGCTTATAGTGATTTAATGTACAAGCTTAGATTTGTGGTGTATCAATCTTGTGGAATCATCATAAATCCAATTATGCTTTGTTAAGAACACCTAAGTAAAGTGCTTTTAAATCGTTTTGTATACAACGACTTTGATCATCTTATAAGTGACTTGCATCAAGGTGTCCTGAATGAGGTGTCATGTGTATATACCAATTAGACATATTGTGTCCTGAATGAAGTGTCATGTGTCTATTGTGTCCTGAATGAGGTGACATATTGTGTCCTAAATGAGTGATTTCGATCTATTATCATATTGTGTCTTGAATGAGGTGTCATCTGTATATACCAATTGGAGAATTGAGCAACAAGGTGAAGTGATATAAAGACAAAGTGGTTAAGGTAAGGAAGATATTTTACATGCAAATCAAGTTTATGAAGAGTTGAATTATACACTTGATTTTAGTGGTATAGTCTAAATACAATTAGAGAGAAGTGTAGAAGTATATTAGTAATAAATAAATAAATGTATGCAGTAAAGAGAAATATGTAAAACTGTCTTTAAGTGTCTAAAATAATTTATAAATATCTGTAAAACACTTCTTTAAGCCTATAAATAGGAAGAACTTATTACTTGTAATCCAAACTGATAAAAGCAAGTAAGAAACAAGTTAGTAAGTTTGTAATGTATCTAAAACAATAAAAATTATCATTCTCCTTTCTTAAAAAAACCCCAATATAGCATTCTTCTATTCCAACCAGAAAGGTACTTGCTGTATAATCTTGTGTAGTATGTATAATTAGTTATAGTTATTGATTTGATTGAATTGATGATGAAGTTTCATAGTACATTGATTAGTAACTCGAAATCATAGATATACATACATAAACAAATGTGATAAAATACAAATAATATTTCATATATTACACAAAACAGGCCAGATGAACTTGATTTCTGCCTTCTTAGACAAAAAGGTTCTTCAGACAATTAATTACATACAATTCCATAGTCTGTTTAAGCATTGCATACTCTAAATTCAACCCTCAAAGTTAGCACTGTACTCTAGAATTCTCTACCTTCAATCAAGCAAGAAGCTCTTTTCTACAACAGAAACAATCATCATCCTAATAGTTTCTTCGTCTCCATCGATCATCGCCCTTTCGGATTAGCAATTTGAGAGAAGATGGCAGCAGAATTCTCAGCTGAGTCATCATGACTAAGGTCATGTTCACTTCCAAGGCTAAGGTTTTTGTAATGTGCAGCCATGTCACTTTTTTGTGCTAAACTTACCTCTTCAAATTCACTCTCATCTATACACGGAGAGTTGTCATGAGTCGATCGCGAACCATCAGGATTCTCTTGCAGGTTGAGAGCAAATTCAAGGTTCCACAATAGATCATTCATCGAGGGACGAGCGAGTCCATGATCAGACAAACATTTCTCAGCTGCATCAGCAAACTTGTTCAAGCTTTCAGGGTTAATCTTTCCTTTCAAATTTGGATCAATAATATCTTCCAATGTTCCTTTTCTTTTGTTGAGCAAAGCCCAATCTGCAAGACTAACCTGTTCTTTCGGAAGGCCAGGATTCAAAGCAGGCCTCGAACACAAGGCCTCGAACAGAACTACTCCGAACGAATAAACATCGGATTTTTCAGTCAATTGTTGTCTCCTGAAATATTCAGGATCCAAATATCCAAAACTACCTTTCACCACTGTACTAACATGACCATTGTTCATGTTTGGACCTGTTTTCGACAATCCAAAATCCGAAACCTTTGCGACAAAGTTTTCATCAAGTAGAATATTTGTTGTTTTGACATCTCTATGAATGATTGTGTATTTTGCTCCTGTGTGAAGGTAATGAAGACCTCTTGCAGCACCAATGCAAATCTCCAACCTTTGCTTCCATGATAAAGTATCTATAGGCTTGTTTCCTTTGTATAAATGCTCCCTCATGGTTCCATGAGCCATGTAATCATAAACCAAACACATTTCGTCATCTTCCTCACAAAAACCAATCAAAGACACTAAATGTTTGTGTCTAAGCTTTGAAAGCATCTCAATTTCAGTCTGAAATTCATTCACTCCTTGTTCTGATTGTGGATTTGATCTCTTAATAGCCACTTTAACTCCATTATCAATAACTCCCTTGTAAACCTTTCCGAATCCTCCAACACCTATCACATTCGTCTCGTCGAAATTCTTTGTCGCTTGAATCATCTCTTGTAACGAAAAATATCGACATAACCCTTGAGCCATGGCCAAGTTTGCACCACTCCCCATAGTACTCTTCCCCGATCCTGTCGATTTCGTTGTACTCGTGTGAGAGTTTCCATAAAGAGGCAACCAACTTGATGTGTTATTTGTGTATGAACCTGTATTAGATATAAAAGTTAGTTATATCCTCATTTTCTCATTTTCTCATTTTCTCTCATAATTATCAATATAATTTTCTTATAAATACCTGGTGCTCTCTTCTTTCTATGATGAACTGCAACACATATTGCAGCAACTAATGCAAAACCAGCAGCTCCACCAGCAGCTCCGCCGATAGCAAAAGTGGTAGTATGGCTATCTTTCTTGTTTTGAAAAGTTCTTTCCTTTTCCTCATGTTTAATCATCATATCAGAAAGCCTAGGATTAGGTCCTGAGAGATCAGTTTGATTGAGTTTAAATATCTCAATACCATTGAGTAAAGCATCGTAATACTCCGGCTTTGCCTTTGCCGCAGGACCCAATGCAAGCCAAAGTTGATCCTCACCCGGCTGATTATGAACATAAATCACATAATCCTTATAAGTGGTCATTCCTTTACCGCCTGTCCAACCTATAACATCAGCCGTTTCCTCCGCCGTTTGATTGTTGATAAAGATATTGAAAACAATTTGGTTCACTTTAGAATAATAGAAATCACAAAAATGCAACCTTAATAAGTACATTGAATTCGGATCAACTTGAAAAATCCACGTGAGATTGTATCTCATGTTAAGATGTAGATCACCTCCCATGGATCTATACGTTGAATAAACTTCCGCAGGAGCAAGATATTGAGGCATAGTTTGGTAATCGATTTTAACATCCTTTGTAATACGATTGCTAACACCATGGGAAGCACCATAAGTATACGGTGTATCATCGTACCATGTTCGACTCAAACCAGAATCTTGAGCCGGAGATATATACTGTCCACCAACGTTTATTCTAAACATTGTTTGAAGATGAAAACCTTCAGTATCCACAATTTGATTCATATAACCGACCAACGAAGGCGACTTGAGCAACAAGTCAGGCATTTCAATAAGTTGAATACCATTGACAAAAGCAAAAGCACCATTGTGTTTATCAGAAGGTTTGAAGGTAAGGCTGAGTTCATTTGCATTCAAAGGTGCAAGTGCATATTCTTTATCAATATAAGCTTGGGACAAGGCTTGACACGTAATCGAGGAGCTGAAATTGTTGAGAAGTATAACATCGTTTGCTTTCACAGAAAAATACGAATCGGCTGGGTTGAGATTGTTGTAAACCGATGGATAAAAATGGAGTCTAAGCCAGTAACGTTTAGTAGGTTGAATTGGAAACTTATACGTTGCTTCAGCTGTGAAAATACGCGCTGTCATATATGGAATCTCTGATGTAAGTGAAGGATCTTGAATTGAAGCTCTTGCTGTAATTGAATTTGGTCCAGAAAGATATTTGTTATCTGGACTCCATTGTCTTCCATCAGGATCTTTACCACCATTATCACCTATTCCACATCCTAGTATCAAAGTTTCAACTTTGTTTTGTGCATGTAACAAAATAGGTACATAGAATATTACAAGTATAACACACAAACTCTTTTGCATGATCATTTTTCGATAAACTAATACGATAAAATGTTAACAAAAATTAAAATGTATGATATTTAGGCGTACAGGAAATAAAATGATGTTTTTTTTGGTGCTATTGATGAAAATTTGAGATAGAATAAGAAAGGAATGATTAATTTCCTGTACGCCAGGAAAAGAAGAAATAAAAACAGGAAATGGGTTATTAGTTTTGTGTTTGTTTTTTTGTGTGTTGAAATGAATGTAGAGAAAACCTACCTGGAATGGTGGGACATGTTTCCAAACCAGGCAAGATGGTAAATTAAGGTGAAGTTTTTATTGTTTCGTTTGTTTATAGGGACATTTACTATACTAAGGTTTTTTTTTTGGTTTTTCTTTTGTTATTAATTATTTTGGCAGTTGTTTTTTTTGTTGTTGTTGTTTGATGAACGTTAAACTTTCATGGTTGAGAATTCTAGAAAGCAGTGATAGGGAGGGATAATCGTAACTGGATGCGTTGGATTTGTTACAGGTTGAAAGGAAGAAACTTATATGCTATATTTGGCACTAGTTTATGGGCAGTAACATTCAGTGATTATTGTTATTTATTTATTTTAAAATAGTTGTTGATACTTAAAAATAAAAATAAATAATCTTTTTCTCAAAATTGACAAGCAATTAAATTTAAGATTAGTCACAAAAAGGTTATGTTAGTATAGTCAATTAAATTTAAGATTAGTCACAAAAAGGTTATGTTAGTACATAATTAGTCAAATACAAATGCAAGTTAGTCGAATCTTTTTTAAATTTATTGAAGTTCGTCGAGTTTAATTAGATTTTAAACTTGACCTAGACTTGGTGGAATTGACTAATTTGATAATTTATTTGGATTTTTTATTTTTTTCATAAGCAACCAAACATTCAATAGATATGAGTATTAGGGGTACTCCAACCCAAATACAAATATGAATCGCCTACATAAAATCACAAGGATATTTAATCCATTTGTAGTAATTACATCTTATATTATTTTTAGATGCTAGCGCTAACCACCACCAAGAAACATAAATAATTCTCTGTACAATAACCTCTAGAGTCTAGATCATTAACCTCGTCCTTGAAAATGATTTTGTTCCTTGATTGCCATATGCACCAATAAGTTGTGAACCATAGGAGGCATGCTGAATGTGCAGAGCTTTTGCTTCTTAATCTCAAGTACCAAGCCAAGAGAAATTTACAACAATCATCCTCCATCAACCATTGGATACCAAGCCAAACAAAAATCTTTTTCCAAACTAGCCTAGTTCTATGGCAACCGCAGAACACATGATTCTTGATCTCACCTAATCAGAAAGGAATCAGCAGCCTACCACGCGTCGTGAGTTTATGTGTTCACCGGTGTTATAGAGGAGGAGAGGGTGTACCTACAAGGTACTCCGATGCTTAAGTGAGTAACAGAGTTTAGAGAGAGAGAGAGAGAGAGAGAGCAAGTACAGAGAGAATAAATATAGAGAATAAGATATTGAACCTCTAGTAAAAGAGGGTATTTATAATGTGGCCTCAACGCGGGGCCAACGGTTACATTGCATTGGGCCGGATTGCCAAGCCCAACACAACTAACTATCAGAGCTTGCGTGGCGTAGGGAAGACCAACACGTGGTATTTGCCTTGGATCAACTGCTCCGTGATCTTCAGAAGGTGGGCTGACCAACTCTTTCAGAAGTGAGTAGTTGTTGATGACGTTTCCCCGCGTGGGGAAAGCGCATGGACTCTCCTCGCGCCAAGTAGTGGTTTGTCCGACTGAGGGGCCTTGTTGAGAGGCGTGCCTGACATGGGAGGATTGAGCCTTGTTAGGCCTCCCCAAGATAGTATTGGGTTGGGCCTGCCCAACTGAGGGGCAGGTATCGGCCCAGTCCAGAACAGGAGCCCCCCAAGTCGTTGCTCCTAAGCGGAGGAGTAATGACTTAAGAGCGAGTTAAGGTATTGAGGACCAGTTCAAAAGATGTCGCTTTCCTGACATACATAGTTGAGGGTTGTGTGCGCGGCCAGGAGTGATAGATGCCCGACGATAGAATGTCGGGGAGGTGGAAAAGCGAATGGATGTGCTTGCTCTCTAGGTACAAGGGAAGCTAAGGGGATACTCGTGGTGTCCCCTAGCTCCACGTGTCATGTGTAATTGATGCTTAGGGCCTGCTACGCGTAGGGGCACTTGAGTGCCTAGTGTAGCCTTACTTCCCATGCCAGGCTTATGAATATGGGGAAATCCCCCTCTCACTTGCACATTCGCTCCTTAAACCTACCAAAATCCTCTCCAAGCTTTTATCACCATCGCTGTCGTTTCCTTTGCCGTCACCGATCTCTGTTGTCCAGATCCTCCTCTCACAAGTAAGTTTCCATCTTCTCTAGTTTTATGAGTTTTCTAGTGAAGCTATGAATTTTCTGGTGTGTCTCATGAAGTTTCTGGCCAAGGTATGAAGTTCCCAGCGAGGCCGCTGGAAACTTCATGAGGATTCCGGGATCTTCATGAAGATGCCGATGAATGTTCCGAGAACCTGTGATGAAAGTACCGGGGAGCTAGAGTGAATGCCTTGAGGAGCTTAGCTCCTCGCAAGTGTGTGGCTATCGCGGGGAGGTTCACTCAGGATCTCCCCGTGCGTGTCGGGGTCACCTCGATTGGGGAGCCTCACTGTCGAGGAGGCTTGCCGCGTAGAGTTGTTGTCGGTTTTCTTCTAGGTGAGAGTGTTCACTTGTACTTATAACGTCATGATCAATATATAAGAGCATCAAAAACTTGAGCTTTAAGATTTGAAAGTTGGACTTTATTGCACTTTCTCTTGATATGAGTCTTGATCTATTCTTTTTTGCATAAGCATACTCTTGTAGTTTGTCTTCATCAAAATAATCAATTGTAGAAGCTTGTCTTCATATAATTCTATGTTTTGACTTATATTTTAAGTGTTTGAGGATGCAATGCTATGCACTGATAAGTATTATATGCATAATGTCATGGTTGGGCTTTGTAGGACGCCAGGAAAAATGGGCTTTAGCTTTTCTTGTTTGTTTTTCAAGGTGTCATGATATGCTAGATGAATTATATGCATGAGTTAAGCGAATTGATTAATGCATGGTGATGATTTGTGCCATGATTTTAAGGATCTGTCAAGTGCTCATGTTGCGGGAGGTGGAAGATTTGAGACTAGGATATGAGTTATCAATACTTGATTATCCGACACCTGCTTCAGGCTCAACTTGAAGGTGAGAAAATACTTAGAAGGGGGGTTGAATAAGTATGAAAGATTAAAACTTAGAATTAAAACACAAGTATTTTTATCCTGGTTCATTGAGCTCAACTAATCCAGTCCACCCTTCCTAGAGTGATTTGCCTTTCTCAAACAAGGACTTAATCCACTATTTAATCAAACAGATTACAATAGTAACACCTAAGAACAACTGTTCTTAGTCTTCTCAAGAGCTACTGATTCCAACTGAATCCTCTTAAGGAAATCCTTTACAATCAATGTAAATCTAATACAAGAGTAAGAATGCTTCTAAAAAGCTTTAATCACAACAGTGATATTTCTCTTAAGTTTAAGTACAATGAAAATAATTCTAAGAAGAATACGAAAGTATGAGAGCTTGAATGTTTTTAATTTCTTTTCAGCAAAATGTCTAACTGAAGAAGTTGGTGGAGACTTGCTTTTATAGGCAGCTGATCCAAGGGAGCTGCACGTTGAGAAGAGTGTCCCAAAAAGGTCTGAGCCTTTTTGTCTTCACATCAAGTGACCTTTCCTAGAAGAAGAAAGCACAGAAAAATCCTTTTTGTCTGTGTTCTTGTGTCTAGCATAAATAAGGAAAGAGACGTTTGATTTACTCCAATGGATATAATCTTTGAATAATTCTTCTTCAGTTTTCAGCAAGTTCATCAGAGTCTAATTGAGTTAGAGTCTTCTGATGATGATCAGAGCTTGCTGGATCAGAGTCTTCTGCAGCAGGTGTGCTCTCAGCGTGTTAAATATCAGAGCATATTTGGAACAGAACTTCAGTACTGGAAGCTTTAGTACTTTCAGAAACTTCTGTAGAATCTATGCTTTGAAAAAACTCTTCATACAAAATTCTTCTTTGCTTCAGATGCTTCTGACTTGCTTCAGATCCTTCTGGAGCTTCAGCTTCAGAATCTTCTGGAGCTACTTGCTTCAGATCCTTCTAGAGGCTTCTGCTTCATATTCTTCTGGAGGCTAAGCTCAGAATCTTCTGGAGGCAGCAATCAGAATCTTTTAATATATGCATCTGGCGCTTCAGAGTCTAGTTAATTTCTTGTATTCAATTCAGATTTGCTTCTGGAGTATTAATTTCTTTACTATCAGCAGTAAAAACTCTCAAGCAAATTTTAGAGTATATAATTCTTAAATACAAAATTTCCTAATAGTTATCATCAAAACATAGAGATATTATTAAGAACCAATCTGTGTTCTAACACAACTGTCGATACACCTTTGCACTTGACTTAAAACATGGATAGGACTTGTACCTTTCTAGAATATCTCTGCCCCAGTCTGTTGAGTATTTGCATGGACTGCCCCTTCATAAGTTATGAAATAGGCTTGTCATAGGACGATCTTGATCTGACTTGCCCCAGATTGAATGAACCTTTGAAGCAACTTGATATTTTACTTAACAGAGTTTTCAGGCGTCTTGCCCCTCAGTGTGATCATACTTCTCATTGTGGAAAGTTTCTTGATGTCAAGTGCTTATTCACGAATAAAGTAATTTGTTTTTGAAAATGCTAATTATACTGATATGTTAATGTCAGTTTTGGAATCCAATTTTGTTCACTGAGATGATGTTGTGACATACAGTGACTGAATCACTAGTTAGAATTCCACATCAATACCAACAAAAATGATAAGTAAAACATTAGGAGTCATCCCTGACGATCCTACAGTAGTATGCTTTCAAAATAAACCTGCTTCAATTAGATCTTTTGAGGGTTGTAACATGGTCTGGTTCATGGTTTCAGAAAAAAAGGATTTATGGCTTAAAATTTA